CTCAACCAGAAGGAAAGTTAGCCTGTAGTAAAACTAGAGATKTTACTGAGATCTTGCCTTAATTAGGGCAGGTTGAAACTCTCTACCTAGCAAAGGCAAATTTTATGCTTTTTGTTTTGCTGAAATCAAAACCAACCTGCAAAAATAAAAAATTATGTCAAGTTTTTCTTGCACAAAAAGGATGCTTAGGTTTTCTTCTCTGAGGATCCTGTAAAGTACTGCGAAAGCTGAAAATAACCCTGCATTTGCCTAAAAGAAGGAGGTATCATGAAAGACTTTGCGTATACAGGACTGGGGCAAAGGACAGTAGTTACTAGCACTCTGGAATCTGGGGGAAAAGCTGCCTTATTTGGCTCCTGGCAAATATATTTTAAAGTGCAGTGTGCTGAAAGGTTACCAGCTTTCCTGCTCCCCTGGGAGGTGTGCAGTGGACTAGGCTGTTTAGGGCCAGGACCAGCTGTGCAGCTGTCCTAGTGAACTAGGACCCTAGTGACCTAGTGGACTCTACCTTAGAGAGYAGTGYGCCAGAGGGAGAGAGTAGCCAAAGAAAAACATTTGGCTACAGATCGTCACTCAAACTAAGGAACTGCGTGGACTTTGCATCTGAGTTTTTGTTTTCATAACAAAGCTCATTTTTCATAAGAGACAGCAGGGCAGGTTGACTCTTCACCTTGGTGGAGAACATACCCAGCTGCAAAGTCTATTGAGCAGTGTGTAGGACTTGAGGTATAGATCCCTCTCTTCCCCCTCACCTTTATCTGACATTCACATGTGTCCACGAATTTAAAACTCCACTTGCCATGTGTGCTATTATCACTGTGCAGTTTTGTGCACAGCTCTTTGTAAAAACTCAGCTCTTTCCTGAGAGGTAACTTCTCTTTCATTCTCAGAGTCACTGTGCTCTATCCAGTTGCTTTTGAAGCTTCTGTCAGACCCAATTAATGTGCCTATACCAAAGGAACATGTGCCATGCAAGGGAAGCACAAGAGATTAATGAAATACTTTACAACTATGAAGCAGCTGTGAAATCTAGCTCTAGTCAAAAAAGTAGARAAAAGCTATTAAATACCACCTTTTTTTTAATTTTTAAGATTTGGGGTGGGGGAACCCTCATTCTATGATGGGAAGGATACTTGTCCTATTTTATTCTTTCATGGCTATCTGAGAAATGCAATGGTCAGGTTTCCTTAGGCAGGTTCAAAAGGAGCRGTAAAGTAGTTCTAGTCTACTGGCTATGAGTTATTGTTTTGCTGTGCAAAATTACGAAAATCCTGTGACTAATGGTCTTTTGCAGTCTTTAACCTGTACCTAAAGAACACTTTCAGATCACATTCAGGTAAGAAGCAGTTGAGATTGCTGTGGTAATTGACAAAAGTTATTTATAATGCTTAATTTGYAAGAAGACAATACTTAACAAATGGTTTTATTTTTCAAAGACTTCTCCTGAGTGTTCTTAAGGGTGATATGATTTTATGCCAAATTGTGAACTAATTGCTTCTAATCAAYCAAATGCTGGTAGGAGTCTGTGAAAAGAACATACACAATCTGTCATGGTTCCCTCTCTGGAGAGTCGCTTTGAATGCTACCTTACACTGACAAACACTCATGCATTTAAAAGATCCCTAGAACTAACAGAGCTATGTGCTGTACTGCCTGACTGAGAACAGTAGCATGGAGTAAGAGTGGTAGTTTKTGCAGTATCATTGCCAGAATCAGCAGTGCCATTTGGAGCAGAATGGCTTAATTGCTGGATGTTTATCATTTTTCTCAAGCTGRTTTGGGTGTATTGAGCATAAGTTGGATAGCAGAATAGAAACATATAATGGATATTTAAGAGTCTGTTGCCGTCACTACATCCTAGATAAATGTAGACCTAACAAATTAGAAAATCTAATTTTATTCTGAAKTCTGTCATCATAAAAGCAATATGTTTTTGTTGTTGCCACCTTATATTTCCCCCTCCTTTCTGCAGGCCTTTTTGTTGCACATGTGTATTCTGATTTTTATTCAAACATGATCAGAGTGTATATGACATAGCTTAGCCTCGTATTTCAACTTTAATGCTTCCCAGAACACTTGAGGATGGTTTTAAATTTGCATTTTCTGCTGCAGTAGAGCTTCAAAGGTGGGTCTTGAGGATTTGGACAGGGGCTGTCTCTAAGTTGCTAAGTGTAGAAGCCAGGTGCAGACCTGAGCATGTTTTTGTTTTTGTCTTTGGTCTATGGAGCATTTTGCTGAATGATACGTGGTTGATTTGAGCACCCCTGAACTGTAATGGCAACTCTGACAAGTTTCTTGTGTGCCAACGGTTGCAGCTGTGTTTTTACATGAAATCTGACTTTAAAGAATGACACTTGCATGCAGATTCTGAATAAATATTTCTGCTGTCATCATGTCTATTGCAGTTTTGTTTAGTGCATCTAGCAAAAATAAAACATCTTTTACAGTTGACTTTCAAGTAAGCTGAAAGACTCTGTAGTGAGATAACTAGTGGAATGGTAATCTCACAAAAATAGATAATGAAAGCTGAGTAGCTCAGATGATGTGTAGTAAGAAAGCCAGTCACTGAAATTCTGAATTTTCTGTTGAACAGCTTAAAGGAAAATTCTGAAGTCTTCATGCTTCATTTCTTAAATAAAAAGTCACTTCAAGCAGAAATTATAACAGCGCAGAGCATTGAAAAGTACACAGTGGTAATCTACTACAACCTTCCCACTCAATATAACRTATAAATTACATTTTTTATGGAGAAATCTGTAATTTCTTACACTGTAGAATGAGTAAGACCTCAATCTACTGATGACCTAATTTATTGGGACAATGATTACTTTAAGCGTTCCCCTCTTTCTTGGAAAGAATATTTTATGTTCTATCAAAGGCTTTAAATTGCAGTTTGTAAAAGCCAAAGGATAGCTTTTTAGCTTAGTACTTGCTTTGTCTTTTGTTCACCGCTGAAACCAGTTTTATTACCTCTAATTCAGTGAGCATGGACAATTCAGTCTTCTGCCTGGCAGTTCTCTGCATAAGTGTGTATTAAAAGCTTTAATTCTAGCTTTATTAAATTACTTTGGGGCAGGCACTTGGAGCAATTTCAATTTTATATTACGGATTTCTAGTATTTTTTAAGGGAAAATACAATGCAGCAACAGTGAAGTAGAGTATATRAGGATGTCCCTCCTTAGGAGGAGCAACCCAGTGAATCCCACTATTTTTGATTCCAAGAACTTAAATGTCAAGGRAGCTCCACGCACACAGAAGAACATTGGAATGGTTTCTCACGTTAAGCTCCACATCGTGGTTTCAGCATGAAGTTGGATGTAGCAGGCACAGATCTCTGCTAAGCGCATCCAAGTCTAAGAGTAACAAATTCCTGCTGTTTGTGTAGGAGGTACCAACTTTATCTCTGTTTTAAGGCCAGCGGGTGGAGCCCAGGAAAAGTGATTCAGTCTTGGTGCTTGAAAGAGTCACTAAGAGTGCAAATGTCACCTAAGAACTGTGATAATATGAAGCAGAGTTGATGGGCTGAGAAGCTGCTTCTCAGAGCAATAAAACACAACAGTGATAAATGTGGATGCTAGAAAGGCAGAGTGGTGGGGATATTTCCCCTCTAGACGATTGCAGCAGGTGTCACAACYGTTCACTGGTGTTTAATGCTCAAGTCTTTGGACCAGCAATTTTTGAGGTGCAAGGTGGGTGTTGGCCAGTAGCTTTGCACAATCTGAATTGACTATTTGGACCTTTGTAAATCAGCTGACGGAGCCTGAAACATCTTTATTAAAATAATAGTCTTAAGGTGATGGGCAATTAATTGTCAGCAGGTTTTGATAGTCATTCACTTTTTTTTGTTGGGACAGCTAATGAAAACTGGGAGTCTAATTTGCATAGTCAGAAAGCTCTCAGTGACAGTTGCCTGTTAAAATTGTGTTTTATATCTTTGCCTCGACCATGTAGTCCTCTCTCCCCCTTTTATAGAAGGAGCCTTAAGGGTTCCTTACCAAACTTGTTACTGCTGCTTGTTGGAAGCCTCACAAATGTGGACTTGAAGGTGATCTCTCATAGCTGTAAGTTGTTTCTGAAATAGTATGGCATAACTTAATATTGATAAAATCAATCCTTGTGCTTGCATTCGGGAAATGGAAAGAAGAATGAAGCCATCAAGTGTCTGTAAGCCTGGAGCCAGGGATCAGGCTAATTTCTAGTGTAATAGTGAATACTTCCAGTATACTCCTTGCTCCATGAACTGACCTGTTAATGTGTTTGTTTTAGTGTGCTTTATGGACATAAGATCATTTCTGATGGGAAGCCAATCGTGTATCCTTAATAACAGAAGCCGTAAAGTCTTTCTCTTGCTGAAGGACATGCAAAGCTGTAATTAAAATGGAACTGCTTAGTAAGCTGAATAGTAGGTTAATATCTCATTTTTATAACAGGTTGCTCAACAAACGGGCAGGAGACTGATCAATTTAGATCTTTGGGGGGAAAACATTTTGGTGCATTTCCTGAAGACCAGTAAAGCTGTTCTTTATTTTTAGTAAACATCATTTGCCTATTTTTCAAGGACTTTCATGGAAGATTTTGCAGTATGATTTTTCAGAGCCATATTTAGGGTCAGACTTGTGTTGCAGCTGTTTTTTGGCAGAGTTTTGCATTATTGATTCTGTTTCTTTTCAAACTGTGTTTTAGATAAGTCATTGGAAAATGCTTGGTTATGGCAGCTTTCAGGTTTAAAGAGGAACAGTTAACTTTTCCTGTAGACTGCAGATTTGCAGAAATGGAGAGGATATAAACTCTAAAATTCACATCTGATTAAGTTCAAACATCTTAGAGTATGATAAACTTGGTTTTGGTAAAAATGGAGGTGACAGCAATTGATGTCCTAATGTGTTCTTTGTATGCCTGAAAAATGTGACTAACACAAAACAAGTGCTTTCTTGAAATGCTGTTAGCAGGTTTAGTTTTCCTAARTGTTGAATATGCCTCTTATTAACAGAAAGTTCTTTCCTTGCAGAGCGACTAACTGCATCCTTAGTACGGCTGATGCATCCAGCCTGGAACCTTTTTGCCCTTGAGGAATAAGGGAAGAGAGGGGGTGGTAAGGAAAAAAACTCCATCAATTCACCTTCCACAGAACATTCCCCCATTCCTCTCTGCCTTGGCATTGGAGAAGGGAGGGAGGATATTTCTTTTTGCCCAGAGTTGAGCGGGCTGCTGGACAATGTCATTCATTGACATGCTTCCCCCTCTCAGTTTTATGGTCAGTCAAGGTGCTCTCAAGGACTGAGTGCCAATTTAATTTAGCTATGGAACTGTCTGAGAGGAAGGATTGAGCAATAGCAATCAGTCAGCTAAAATAAATCTTTTTGTTTAGCTTGATATTTATTGCAGTATGTCTGGTGGGTTGAAAGATCTCTTTTCTCCTAACTTGGTCACCAGGCAATAATGATTTAAGCAAAAAGATTCCTTTCCTGAAGAAAATTCTTCTGTTTGTGCAATAAATTCTGTAAACAGTAACTACTTTAAGAAGCTTGCATAACTCAGTGAGGATGGGTGGCTCTTGTTTGCCCCAACCTTAAGCAGAACTTCACAGTCCTGTAAAGTTTATTTGGGAGTTTAATCTCTTAATTGAACATTTTCTGTACTTATTGATGCCACACATTTGTAGAGCTAGCTGCGTAGCTCATCTGTTAAGCTGTTGGAATGGCAAGTGTGTAATAGGGACCTGTCCGGGACTTGATGTAGAATGAATGTAGAAAACTTTGGGTATTTAAGCAGCAAAAGGAATGCCCCTSTGATTCAAGAAACCAAAGTAGGATATTGCCTGCAGGAGGTGTTTTAGATGGCCTCAGAAGCTTAAGTTAAAAAGTGAGTGGAAAGGGTTTTAAAACTATTTCTAATTGTTTTATGCTTCAGTTAAAGCAATGGCACTGTACTTCACAGTGTAAAGTGGTTATTGCTCTAGGAAATATGTGCACAGTACTTTCAGTGGGGACTGTTACATTGACCTAACATTATTTTTAAGAGTTGATGTGAAAGGAGGGAACAGATGGATGCTTATTCTTATCCAAGTTTTCTGATGTTTGATTGTGCAAGTCCAATGTGACTGCAGTCTAGTGAGACTCTCCCAAGAGGACTCTCAGAAGTGTGATGATGCCTTAAGATTTTAATGATTTTCCAAAAAAGTTGCTGTCTATGTGTCTTTAAACTTGTGGCTACTAAATCAATTATCTAAGTCAAGCTTGCATTTACAATTTAATATTCATCTCTAAACTGAATATTTTGAGAGTGACTTGACGAAGGAGAAGAATTAATGTGACTTAATTATGTTTTCCAAATGCCTTGTTGTGTCACCTGTTAAATAGAAAACCATTTGGGTARCTCTTGCTGTGCTCATCTGCTAGACTTTTAAGTCATATCTTGAGAAGGGGATTCTTGTCACAAGAGAGAAATTAAAATACTTGGTTTCATGCACACATACCTGCACGCCCACATGCACATGCCTGTCAAGGCAAAAGAAAATTGCTGCAAGTATCAGGAGTGTTGTGTCTCTTCTGAATTATTTTGTTGGCTGGGGTGGAGGATTCTCTGCAGAATATTAGTGACTGGAAGACAATCTGTGCTGTGGCAGCAAGCTAGCTGTAGTGCTGAACTGTGACTTAACAAGAGCCAGGAGCTACTGGCAGGCTGCTAATTAGAAATCTGTGTAAATGCTCTACTTGTAGCTCTGCTTCTGGTATTGCGACATGTAGCCAAGTTCCTGCTGTCTCTTAAAGATTAAAAAAAGTCTGACTTTCAATCACAGATATGTAAACGTTCTCTTTTGTACAAAATTTGCTTTTGTTACTGGGTTGCTCAGGTGGTCTTAAAGTTGTGGCACTCGTTTTTGTCATTCACCAACCTTCTTCTTCGCCCTTGAAAACAGTTGCATAGGACTAGCTTTTTGTAGCAGTGGAACCTGCTTATTCATGGTTGACTGAAAACATTTTTGTAAATGCTTCAGCAGGGACAAAAAGTGAAAATCAGGCTGCAGCTTTCATTAGGACAGCACAGAAAAAAAAAAAAAAAGAGAGCCTTAATGTGATTTTTAAACTAGGAAGAACATCTGCCATATCTTAATGTGGCCAGAATTTTAAACAGTGTACTGCAAATGCTGGAGACTGATCATTGAGATATATACTCTGGTTTCTCTTATTTTTATTTGTACCTGATATTTTTGCTTGCAGTAAGCAGTTACACTTTTTCCCTTGATCCTAGTAGTAACTTAATCCAGAATACTTTTATATATAGGCTTAGAGTTGTCTTCCATTACACTTTTGCTCTTACACATATTCCTTAGCTTCTGTGACAGTTTGAAGACTTTTTTTACCAAAAAAAAGTTTTATCTTATTTAAGGCTGGAAAAAAATGTAGTTGTACCATCTTGTTAGCAAAGTAGAATATAAAGTCTTTTGTGTATGYTTGTGCTCTCATCTTTCTCCTTGTCTTGTTTCTCTTTTAAAATCCTGAATTATTCAAGCATCATGCTTAGCAGTAAGATTTTTGTATAGAAAGCCTTTAACTGAAGCAAATGTATTTAAGTCTATTTTTAAATGTTGAGAGCTCTTAATGAGAACATTTTAATCTCTAAGYTTCAGTATAGAAGTGCTTTTTTATACTTCATAGTATAATATGTAATCTTTATCTTCTCAGGCCATTACAGAATGACCTTGCACTGAGTCTTTCTGGAAGAAGCAAGAACTAACCAGCAGTCCCTCAATGTGCATCATTCTGTTCAAATTTGACCCTCGACCAGCTTCCAAAAATGCCTACAGGTAAAGATGCTTCTAGTTAACAGATGTATTTCCATAACCTTTCTTATACAATTTCATTTYAGCTGTAGTCAGTGATAATTGAAACTCAAATGTCAGTTTCAGATGCCTTTAGGTAAGTTTGTATTGATTCTGAACAGTCTATTTCACAGGCAAACTTCCTATGGAAAAAAGAACCTTAGAACTTTATATCCAAAGTATGTATCTAAACATATACAGTATGTAATAAAGACACCACTCCAGACTTCTAAAAAGACTTTACTGTTCATTACTTCTTGTGTTTATGTATGTTGTTGGTATTGACTATGTCTTGAGACGCATAAATATCAGTATTTGTCCAGTAACTTTCCTCTGCCTTCTGTTAAGCAGTAACTTGTTCCAGACCTCTGAGATAAATATYTCAAATCAGCCATTCTTTCAGACTAGTGACCTTGTTTCCCTAGTTAAAAGCATGYCTAAATGATCCTTAAAAGTTGAAAGACCAACTGAGTATCTTAGGCCACATTCTTATAGACAATATACATTCTCAAGCAATAAACATGCTCCTCATGATGCTCAGGAAATTTTTGCATCCTGGTAGATTATCTGCAGCAGTACGTGTGCCAGTTAGAGCACTGTATCAATAACATTTATTGTTATTAAATCAACCTTTATTAATCAAAAATTAATCAAATGAATCAAAATGAATTGTATTACCCAAAAACCTTACAGTTAATCTTTGTAGTACATAATGAATCTGCGTCCTTGCCCCTTGCTTTGGACCTTTCTTCATCCCGAGTCTTCTCTCTGCAGGTATATTCATAGAAAAGTTTAGTGCATTGTACCAAATGCTTTACTACAGTCCATTACTGTCAAAAGTAATGTACTACCTGTACATCTCTTTCCTAACTCTACTGTCTTATGAATAAATACAGCTTGCAAACTTCAAAGCTGTAATCACATAACATTTTTATGGAAGTGAATTTTATTGCAGGAAACTAGTAGAATAACTTCTCCTGTTCTAATCCCTTTGCCTCAACATTAAGATAAATCTTAGTACGTAAATCCTAATAAAGCTAAGTATCTAAGCTATGAAAAAGGTCTTTTGCAATTTCTCATTTAATATTGTTCTTTTTCCCCCTCAGTATGATTGTTTCATAAAAGACAATTAAGATGTTTTAATTGTAGCAATCTTTTTTTACAAGACTTTAAARTGTATAGTGAATTTGGGGTAGGGAAGGTTCTATCAGGAATGGCTTCATTTAATATTTAGTATTTGGAGTTTATATAAAGAAATGGTGGTTTCATGTCTAGCATTTTTGAAAGCAAAATTCAGTTAGAACTTCAGGAAGAGAACTGACCTGTTTCAGCCAAATTATTTTTGAAAGGTATGGATGTTTACATAATATGCAAATGGAAGATACTACTTGTACATGGAGGACTATTTGAACAAGGCAAAAGAAATTCAGCAAACTAGTTGAGTGTGTAATTTAAGACTAGAAAAATCAAAGCTGAATCTAAAAAAGGAAAAATATAGTTTTTCTCATTGGAAAGAGGAAAATGTACATAATCTGTATGTACTCTGTACATTCAGCAGATACTGTTTTCATTGGGTACRGTGCTAAGCATTTTCCCCTACAGTAAGGATATCACTGAAATGTTAGCATTCTTTGTTCTCCAGAGGTGGTATTTTTTAAAAGAAACTGGTAATKAACGATCGTGACTTAAAGTATTGCATTAATGAAGAGAAGAGTTTTCAGGAAAGGTCCAGAAACTTATTAGAAAGTGTCAGTACATTTGAATGCTAAGTAATGAGATTTCACAGGAACTGATTCCCTTGTGTTGTGTGATTGAAAAATTAGAATGAAAAGTGTATGGCCTAGTTTCCTTTTTACAGCAGTGCATTTGGTGTGTAATGAACATGCAGCTGGTAGGAAGAACTGATAGTGAAGACAATGTGAAGACACATAGTGAAGTGAAGACAGTTGGAGGAAACTGATCATGGAAACCTGTAGGTTTCTGTAAGACACAAAACTTAATTAAAATTAAATAATAATATGGTTGGATAGAACGGGGCGCATTCACAATCTAGCAACAAAAAGAAAAATGAGTCACTTGATGGGTACTGATGTGCAGGAAGCTCTGTTGGACTGATCTTTAACCACAGCGTGGTATAGTGGGATTGTATGAAAATGTGTCTGCGGACTCTGAATGACTCATGACAGAAATCTTGAAATTCATTAAGTTCATAGYTAGATCTTCTCCTTGGTCAGTGTCATTACAAGAAAAAAGTTACAGGCCTGTGGAAGCTGAGTTAAGAACATACACTATAATATATGATCAGGAAGTAAATGAATAAAGAATAAAGATTGATTCTAAAGTGTCCATTATCCATTTATATATATATATATAAAATGTAGTTAATTCATTTTTACCTGTATTTTACAGGTAACCTTAAATTATTCTTTTTGATTAAACTGGTGCTATACAGTGATACTCATTCTTCAAATGAAGTAATGCTGTTTGAAGAGTTGGTTTCTGTTCCTGCCTCAACTGTGGAATATCTATTTTTATGTAATAGTATCTTTCTGCTCCTGTGTTTTGCAGGCTTATTCTAGCAGCTAATAGAGATGAATTTTACCATAGACCATCCAAGTCAGCAGATTTTTGGGACAGCAGCAATGAAATCCTTAGTGGTATGTAACTATTTTGTAACTTTTTTCGGCTTGTTTTTAATATAATTTATAAAGGAATCAGTAGATATGCAAAAATGTAAGTGTAAAAAATATTCCTCATACTTCTGGGGAAAATATTTAATGAAATTTGACATGAATTGTATTGCTGTTGTGTTATTTTTGTTTTAAGATCTAGGGAAAAAAAAATCCTTGAAGCTATTTGGTAACATTGTGGCATCGTTAGTTTGTTCTGGGGAGGTAGGTACCAAGGGACTTGAATGTTTTCAGTATTGTGTTTTTTAATTAACTTCAATCCAAGCAGTGCARTGGAAATGTACTAAATCACAGCTAGCTGCTTCATCTTTTTTAGATGCAGTAAAACACTTATTAGAATTAYTGTACATGCTCATTGTGTTTAGTCAGTTAAAACTGTTAAGCTGAGCTTCATGAAACTTTTTCTCTTTTTTTTGTTTTAATTAGTAATTCATAGACTACAGAGTAGCTTTAGTTATTGATCTACTAGWAAACCAACTGTTTCTTCCTCTTTAGGAGAGAATCTGTCTTTATATGTTCACTTAAGTATAACTAATATTTCTTCATTTTCTCAGAGACAAAATTGAAGCACTAGAAGACAAAGCATTGTTTTAAATACCAGATTCTGCCTTTGCGTAGACTGTGTTACTGTCACTGGCAGAGAGGACAGTGAGGATAAATTATTCCCACTGCCCTGCAGCTTCCTTGTTTCTGAAATTTGGGCTGATGTTTCAGATTTCTGGCCATCTAGACACTGTTTACCCTGTTACGTAGTGAGTTTAAAGCAAAACAAACAAGACTTATTGCTATCCTGAAATCTGAAAAGCTTTAAGCTTTAGCATCAGTTTTGGGTATGTGTAGGGTAAGAAACTGGTGTTTTCTATGTTCAGGGGTCTATCTGAAAGTACCTTTTTACTGGTCCCTCTTGATGATGTTTTCAAACAAATCAGAAAAGTCAAATTTATTCTTTGATTTAACATTGAAAAATATTTTTTCTTACAACAAATTTCAAAGCAGGAATTTTTGTTAGTTATTGGACACTGGCCAGTGTAGCTGTATATATTCTGTGTACTCCACGGTTAAGGTGAACACTGGTGCTGAAGTGTTTTTTTTAAAGATCTCATATGACCAAACTTGATATTGGGGTTTTGGATCCTGAGGAAAGTGTCTGAATAGGGGTCCAAAAATGTTGGCTTAGTCCTTTAATGAAATCTATCTTCTGACATTCTGATTCAGAATTAAAAGTTTTGCAGCAATATGCATATTTGTAGAGAAACATATCCCTTTTTCCATTAAATATCTGGTGTTTAACATGAGCTTATTGCAAATATGTTTTTAAAAAAACTTATGCTGTGATAGTGCTTTTTGACTTAGTAACGCAAACTATTTTCTAAGCCAAAGGTTTTTATTAGTTACCTAATTAACTGKTACTTTAATATTTCTGGAAAAAATTAAATAGAATAATTTAAAGTCAATCTTCTCAGGTATTTGCCCTTGAATTAATGTATTTTCTGAGTCTACCTAAAGATTATGGCTATGTTAGCATATTGGCACATCTCATTTTTAAATTTAATCTGCTTGTTCTTTCTCATTTTTTTCCTGTGTCTTTGAAAGTATTAGCTAGTGCAGAATTGTGTTGGGTTGTTTGCCTCCTTTACATTCCTGTACCTATTGATTTCATTCAGCTCTATTAAGACTTAAGACTTCATTAAGAAAGTAAACTTAAGGTTTTTGAAAAATGAGTGAAATATTTTAACTTTTGGTCTTCTAGGTCTGGATATGGAGGAAGGAAAAGAAGGTGGGACATGGCTAGGAATCAGTAAGAAAGGCAAGATGGCAGCCCTGACAAACTATATGCAGCCAAAGATTGACAAAAATGCAAAAGGAAGAGGTATGAAATATTAGAAAAAGGAAAAAGGATATAGACAAGTCTTGGTGTCCCAGTAAAATAAAATGATTGCAATATTAATATAAAATTTAAACCATTTTATTAGACAACAATGATGTTAACTGATTGGGCTATGTACCTGTGTGAGAAGCCTTACTTGGGTAAGGACATTTCAATCAAACAGGCAAAAATAAAATGAATTGAAGTGGTTATATCCAGACAAGAAATGGAACATCAGTTTTTTCTTAATGTTGATTATAATTAACGCTGAAAAAATGGACAAGGATTGAGTTAGATTTTCTTCACTTTTTATATTTCACTAGATTTTTTTTAAAAGTGTGTATGTTCTTGTTCAAAAAAAGATGATGTTGCAATTTAGGCTGTGCTGAAGATTAGGCTAAAGGATCCTAATAGTTTGTTCTCACAGTGATGAATCAGTGGTGAAACTGAAGAAACACTTCTGAAAGAGCACATCTGTTTTTAAAATAAAAAGGGGTCTGTCTATAGCTGTGTGGGACTGCAGTGGAAATATATTGCAGGGGTAAAATGTGATGTTACATGGAAACAAATGGACTATGACACCTGTATCATTGTAGGGTTATATATAAGGGAACAAGCAAGACAGGAGCAAGTTTAGCAAGGTGGGAGGAAAGGAAGAGTACATCAAGTAAAGTGGAGTTGATAAATGTGACTGCTGTACAACTGAGCTCTTGAGTTCTTTCTCAAAATAAAAATCAAGTTTTTAAGCCTTATACCTTAAACCTTAAGCCTTATACCTTAAAACTTAAGATTTTAAAGGTTCTTTTCCAYTTACAATAATGGCATTGGTAGCAGGAAACGTTTGTATCACTACTTCACCAACCCTGCCAGAATAGTGAGTTCATGTGTCCAAGTTGCTCTATGTACTTCTTTCTTAGGTGCTCTTGTAGCAAACTTCTTGACTTCAGATCTGGACAGCTATTCTTACTTGAAGAACGTTTCAGTAGAAGGACATCTTTACAATGGATTTAACTTATTAGCAGCTGACTTGAAGTAAGTCTACAAAACATCATAGTTTAAATACTAAAAGAAGAAAGGTAACAGCAGTGAAGTACATTATATATAGGTGTTAGCACAGAAGTTAAGCAATGTACCAGCCTGTCACAAACTAAAGCTAGGGCTTATCTTTTTTTGCTATTGGCATATAAGGGCCTACTGTTATTCTAGTCTTAAGATTGTTTTTCTTCTTAAGGTTATCTAATTCTAATCACTGCTTCCTGCAAAACTATGCAGCTTCTCTAATAGGCCATAATCACTCTTTTTGTCTTTCCCTGAAGACTATCTTTGTTTTGAAGATGACAAAACCTTGGCTACATATCTTTCTCAAATATGGATGCATCTGCACATCTGTATAATTATAAACCTCTTTATCCTCATTTTATGAGTATTTTTCAGCTGTCAGATTTTTTACTGAATATTTAGCTTAATTTAATGTCTACTGTAGGTAGACAAGCTGTTCTTGATCATATAGTTCATCCACACAGAATTTATCAGCAGTTAAGGTAGTGCAACCTCAAAATTTGGCTGACAAGCTGTGACTTATGAGAAGGATCAATATTAGCAGGAAAAGAAAATGAAAGAGAATCAGTAAGGTGATCCCTTAAGTGTGGAAGTGGAAACTTGATTTAAGTTGAGCTTTAAAAAAAGTCTGCTGGATCTTATTGTCATCACTTCATTCCTTTATCACTTTTCCAGCAAAATTGATACCTTTGTGTATCAGGAGGGGATTTGATGCTATTGCTGGGATCTAGTTTGTAGTGACTCTTCATGTTAGCTCTGCCTTGGAGTTCAGTACTGAGAAGCTGTGAATGGTAGGAAAAAAACAGGCAGAGCTAAATAGTAATGGGAGGAGGAACAGACTGGTGCATTGAACTCAATTTTGGAAGTACACCCACTTTCAAACTCCCTTGGAAGGTTTCAGTCTCTCTGACAAAAATTTCCCTTATCAGACCACAACAGCTTTCTAATGGAAATATGTGTAATAGAAAAAGCACATCTGGGGGCATGTGGAATGTAGAAGCAGTGAGATACAGATGTCCCAAATTAGCGACCCCAGGGTGTGTATGTATTCCCATTCTTTTCATTAACTTCAAGGGATCTGATTACTGATTTTCTCAGTTACAAGAGCCTGAAACAGATGGTAGATGATATTTTCACATAAAAAGCTATTGAAAAGGAAGTCAGTAGTGACTACTTATTCAGCATGAGATTGCTTCTTAGACAAGTCTTACCTTATAGCTGTGTTCAAGGGCTTGCTTGGGCAGCTTCCTCATCCTCCTCAGACTCTGCCTTTTGACTCCTCTGTGATGAGAACTGCTCTGGGGTTTTCTCTTGGTAGCCCTTCTCCAACAGTTACAGGTTTGGAAACTGGGAGCGGGTATTCAATGCACTGTTAAAGCAGTCTTTGGGATTGCTGTTGTCCTAAATGAAAGCACAATTAATTACCTTAATGAATTTGYTTTACTTGTTTAATACATAACATGTTTACAGTGTGCTTATTGTTACTAATGTGTKTTTTAAAGATCTTCAGGGAACTTCTAAATGATCCAAGTGATTTTTGGCAATTTTGAACACTAATTCTTACTGGTCTTGTGTTATACTGCTCTCTAGCAAATGCTTCAGAAACAGTGCATCACAGAAAAACTTTGTTTTCTGTTAGTAAACAAATTGTACACCATTTTTCTGTTTAATTTTGATTTCAGAACTTTATACCTGAAACTTCCTCAAGAAATGGAAGGGAATTTCATTGCTCATAATCTTGTTTTCCCATCTCTAGTCAACAGTATGTTCTCATATTCATTGGAAAAAATACCATGCTTTGTCTTACAGTGTATTTAAGAGTAACTTAAGGAGGAGAGGAAGGTTTTCTCATCTTTGTATTCTGTTCTTGGCTTTTTCTGTCTTATGAGTGAATTAGAATTTCCCCTTTTTTGACTGGCTTGAGGAAGAAGCTGCAAAATGTTTTTCAGAATGCTTCTTTGAGAAGAATATAATCAGCTAAATAAAGAACTGTTTGCTTGTAATTAATGTTCAGATGCTAACTGAGGTAGCAGATGTTAACTTAAGCACAGCAATTTAACTTCCAGCAYATGATTAATGAGATTGCTTTCTACATAGACTCATGTGCATCAAATCAGATAAGTCTTTATCCCCTAGGAAAAGGAACTGAAAATGGTTTCTCTATTGTTCAGTGTTGCTCAATGTAAATTCAGTCTTAACTGTGAGCTTGCAGTGTTTTCTTTTTATCCAAAGACCATCTACTGTCGCAGGAACTGCAGGTTGAGACTTGCATGGACAGTAAATTAAAAGCTGGACTAAAGTCCAAGTGTTGGGTGACTAAAATGCTTTTTTTCCCCACTGTAAATAAGTATGTCACTAGAGTGAAATCAAGAATTATGTGATCTYACGGCTGTGTCCTAGCAAATGAAGTGATAGCAGTTTGAGGACTCACTACTGTATGTTAGCAGGATTGGATGTTAAGAGTGAGCCATCTAATGGCAATTCATGATTTCTGTTTCTTTCCCAAAAGACACCAAATTTTAGACTTGATTTTCTTTTCAATTGACTGTCTGCTATGTTGCCGACGTCTGTGAGGCTGTTTTAAAAACCCTCTTTTGGTTGGGGGAAACCTACATGCAATGCAGATATGCTGATTCCATCTCTTGCAGGCAACAGTTATTTGCTGTTTTGGAAGCTGTCCTTGAATTCCTGTCTGGAACTATCTCTCAAATCCCTTCTGCTCAAGTGTGAATGCAGGAGAAAGCTACAGACAACTGCAGTTAGCTTAAAGATTCAATTACATTGTATTAGTTAATAGAAAACAGTCTAAAGATACGTGACTGTCATAATGACATCCATTCCATGTCCCACTACACTTCAGTAAGTGGACCTAAAATTTACTTCTGTCAAATGAAACAGCTACAGTGGCCAAAAAGGGATTTAAAATAGATAATGGAAAATGTTACTTGCGTGAATTATTCTCTTTATGTTGAGAGGGAAAGAGTGCTTCTCTGCTCATTTAAAGCATACAGGTTTTTCCCTGAGCTGGGTTGCTTTCCATGGAGTAGTTCGGGATTTTTAGTGCTGTATTAAAATCATACATGCCATTTGATAGTGGTACAGCTACTATTGTATTTTGAGAGGACAGCAATGCAACTCATCAATCTCTAGACTGCGGAATCCTGTAGCAATAGTTGGGCAACCATCCTGATGTGTTTAAAGACTGCATGAAGTTAGAATTACAGAAGCTGATGTTTTCAAGGAGACCTTATTTATGTTTTTCAGTACTACCAAAGGAGATGTAATTTGCTACTATGGAAACAGAGGAGAACCAGAGCCTGTTTTCTTAAAGCCTGGTAGGATGATTTCAGAAAGGTCTGAATATTGCTTTACAATGTTGCTTCAAAGGAGTTGGAATGTAGCTGTATTTTTCTAGTGTTTTAGTTTAAATGTGTATTGTCTTCCCTACTTTTCCATTGCATTCTTAAAAAGTAAGCATAATGTCCTTAAATTCCTTTAAGAACTTACTGTTTTCCCTAAAGAATAACTAATTGGTAAAAAGCTTCTATAAACAAGYTCTATATTGCTGTACCTATATGATAGTGGGATGTTACCTAAGGAAAATGACTGCCTTGAAGAGTGTGACTTGCAAATATTTGTAGGCTGGACAGAGCTCTCCTTTCCCTGCAATGTTAGAGACATTGAGACTATGCTTCCATAAAGGCAGTTGGTTTTAAAAGACAGGGAAAACCCTCTTTAATTTGTTTTCAGGCAGATTGAATTAAAATACGTAAAATATAGCTCTTTGCTGTCTGATTCCACAAAGCAGTACTCCAGAAATTGTTACTGAAAAGTCCTTTTAAATGGACAGGGATGCACAGGACGCTGAGCAGCACAGGTGCTTGACAACAGTTGCTACAAAGAATATGTTGATGGTGATGGCTTATTTTGTTTGCTTCTGTTAACTGTCAAAATGTTATTGCCAATAGACAAATAGTTACGGGAGCAATTATAGCCTAAACCCCTAGAAACCATTGTTAGATTTTGTATAACAGCAAACACAAAACAGATTTTGATCCAGACATTTAGGACAAGCTTTGGCCACTTGTCTATCTGTTTTTCTTTCRTACCAAATGGAGCTGGATGGTGGTTCTGCAGAAGTCTGGCATGCTTTTCTTGGGGAACACAGATGCAGATTAACAGAGATGTTAAGGATCAGGGTTTAGAAAAACTAGTGCAGTGTCTCCTTCATTGCTTCTGGCCATAGCTGTCAAGCTACTGTCCAGAAGAGCACTGTGTTTAATAGCAGTTTTAAAGCCTCTGCACAAACGTGGCAGCGTGTTTTTAGTGTTGTCTTGGAGCATGAAGTCCCTGTGTGTTGTGCAGGTAGAAAAATAGTACTACTTTAATGGTGTAATGAGAAAATGGGCATCACAAAAGACTGCAAAAGCTGAAAATTTTGTGCTTTTTTGTAATGTTCAAAACAGATTAAAAGTAAATTACTGCAAATATGGATTAGAATAAAACTGCTGAATATTAGCACAGAGGAATACTTAAGCACAGCCTAATGTTTGATACAGGTCGCAGGTCTAGGATTAGGCCATGTGTTTTATAGTGTATCTACTGATAAAAAGATGAGCTGGGGAACAATTTGGGTTGCATTAAAAGGTATGAAATATATCCATAAAACTGAGTCACCAGAACATCCTTTCTAAATTGATTTTATCCTTCTGAAAATTATTCAGAATGAATGCAGCTGGAAGTGGTCCTTGGGGGACTGGTTTGTAAACACTTTACTATTGCTTTTAAATCTAAAATTTACCATATAATTGTCTTATTAGAGACTGCTGTTATTCTGGTACATGTAAAGCTTGAAAGATCAGGTTACTTTGTGGAAATAAAACCAATSTTGTCATGATTATAAAAGTTATTTTCTGTTTAGGTTATGTAATGCCCTAATGTTTCTATTGATGATGTGCTGTGGAATAAAACCTACTGGCATTACTTCACCAGATTGCACATGTGTGCATTACAGTGGTTTTAAACTCTAGGATTCAGACAATTTTAGTAACCTTAGAGCAAAAATGCTGTGAAGTTGGGGATTGGGATGTTTTTCCCCCATCATAAAACTGTTGAGAGTGATAGTCCAATACTGTTGAGAAGTTAGGCTATTTCATAAGCCTAAGTTCATTAAGTTATCAAGTTATTTCATTAAGTTATTAGGTAAGGAGGCTCTTAAACTAAACGAGATGGGGACTCTACTTATCACTTAGTATTTGATACGTAGTTTAATGACCTCTTACAATTAAGGCAAAATGAAGTTTGGCAATGGGGTGAATAGGCAAATTATCGTGAGGTTCATGATAAACTTACAGCATTTATTTCTCTTCCTGAATCTGTGTAGGATAAGATAATTATGATTTTTTTTGCATAGTATGCATGTGAACTTGTGCAGAGATATGCTTATTGAATAGTATGGTTACATATTTTAACCTGCCTCACAGATCAGCTTTTTTCCCCTTTATAGGAACATATGGATTGAGTAATTCTTTGTTGGATACACCATGGAAGAAACTTCAGTATGGGAAGCAGCTTTTCACAGAAGTGATCAAGAGAAGTCAAGACCTTACTAAAGAAGACTTGGTGCAGGAGCTCCTTACAGTGATGAATAATCAAGAGCCGTAAGAACACATTATCAAGAATTTACCTAAAATGCAATGTGACCAGTTAATCTTCACTTTTTAAGTAGAAAACTTGACCATATTTTGGTGATCTGACTGAAATGTTAGGAGTTTAACACTGCTGCAGTAACCCCCGTGACCTTAGCATTTCCTCTGTGGGGTGCTGATACTGACTTAATTACAGCAAATGAAGTTTGATATACTTCAGTATATGGTAGGTCCTGTTTCTAAGTATCTTCCAAGCTTTGATAGAAATACTTGTCAAGAAATGTTAAGGGCCGTCCTAGATATCTTCCAGGTATTCCAAATAAGCTTGCAGGAAGAAGAGATCTTTGTTCAACACAAAAGAAAAAACTGGGGTATAACTAGAAGAATGTTTGCTTATACAGTGTGCCTGAAATAACTCGATCGTGAAAGTTTTATGCAAGACCTTAGGGGAAGTAGAATACAGAAAGGAAGAAATAACAATGAAGGTGAAAAGAACTGCCAAGATATGAACAATATCTTACAGTGAGACAGAAGTTCAAGACCTTGAAAGATTCTCTGTGGAAAAGAACTGACAAGTCATTTTAGCTTGGGTCTTCATACTGCAGTCTCAAAACTCACACTCCTGTTAGGATTGTTAGTTACTATTCACTTAACTAGCAGCTTATTGCAAGAGGGGGTTATGTTTGTTAAATATATTTTTTATACAGTCAATTACCAGATCCAGCAATTGAAGACCAAGGGATGGATTACATACGTCCTTTATTAAACAAATATGCAGCTGTGTGTGTTCGATGCCCTGGATATGGAACAAGGTAAAACTTCATAGTCAGAAATGGTTGTGTACTGGATCAAAGCACATCTCCCATTATTGCTGTGATTTTTGACTCTCTAGTGTCTGCTTTCAGTTCATTAATCAAGCATAATTTAGTAAAGTGTTTCCTTATACTGTGGTGCCTTAAATAACTTGGCACTAGCTGCATTATGGTTTATTTGGGAGCTGTAGGCAGCTCTAATTTGTCTAGGACAAGATAATATAAGTTTGAATTACAAAGGATTTTTACTGTTCCATTTCTGGTTTATTTTTTGAAGTTACTATTCTTGTTTACTCACGTTCATTTCTCTTCAAGCCGTACAGAAATTCCCTCAGCCATATTGCCCTTCCTTATTTCTTTCACTTTATATTCATGTATTAAACTTATTACTCTTGTTCAAAAAAACATTTTTATTTTCCCCTAACTGGTGCTGCTGTTCTGAGATATTCTCACTTCTTACCCAGATTGTTCTGTCATAACTGTAAGAAGATTATAGTAATAGATACATCTTGCATTTAATCCTGAGTAGGTCAAAATGATAGGTTAAGGAGTTGCTGCTCATAGGGAATTTGTGCTTTAAAGGACTGCCAATGATTTTGTCGGCCAGGGGCTGCATTAGTCAACTGCAGCATTCCTGTTGTATAGATAAAAAGTGGTAAGAAGGAAACTCATTTTGGTATTTCTAAGTTTACATTTTGGCAAAGAAACCACTGCAAAAATGTAGTTTATCTTGATTAAAATATATGCAAAAAAGTTACTTTTGGTATACAGAAGCATTAAAATTGTAAATGAATGTTTCCTTCTTGCTTCATAGGTTGTATGTTTCAAAGGATACAGAGGTATTCTGGAATAACTTGGAAGAAATTCTTGTCTCTTACTAGTGCGTTAATGATATATTTCAAACCTTTCCTGCTGTTTATAACTATACACTTACATTCTTAGGCTTTCAGTGAATTGAGATTATTCATTAGACCTCACAATATTGTTAGGAAGCTGAGCAGTTTTTGTATGTGAAACTGAAATGACTTGTAGGCTACCAAGTCAGGATGGTAGAAAATTCTTACTTCCTGTCAGCCATCTGTCAGTGCTTTTTCTACATAAACTGCTGTTTTTCCTCTGGTCAATTAAATATAAAATCAGAAACAGTGGTAGATATGCACAAGTAGAATCTGCTTTAATGGAAGTAATTTCCTGTTTACTAATTACATCCTAAAGGACAGAAGTTATTGTTACCACATTGGTGTCCTGTGATAACAATGATGTCTGATGATGGACTTGAGCTTCCAGGAGAAATGAAGCTGGAATTCTGTTGTAAATAGCCATGAGTTTGTACATGCCATCAGGTAAAATGTAAATTCATGCTACATGTGACTTGAATGCCTTTGGCATCCACAAAAATCTTTCTATCATACTTTTTGTAGGCATTCAGTTTTGTATTTGGCTTTAAGTGCAACAGGAAAAGAGCAGTGGAGTGAGAGCAAGACAAAGTGTCCATTTGCAATTGCCTGCATGATTTCTGTCCTGCTTAGCACAGTGATCCAGTCAAGAGAAATGAGTTAATGGCAGGCTGATGTTGCAGGGCTTTAGGAACATGTGTGACAGACACAAGGTTTAACCTTCTACCTTTTTGTTTCAGGACTAACACAGTCATTCTCATTGATTCAGAAGGAGAGGTCACTTTCACCGAGCGCACCATGATCAATGCAGATGTCAACCAGTGGAAAACAAGCACCTATGAGTTCAAGCTACAGATTTAACGTACATTTGAATGGAGTGTAATAAAAGCAATGACAGAACAAGCCATTAAACTCCCACAAATGTTTTCTGCCAGACTCCAGAGCGCAAAAAAGAGCAAGGAAAACAAAAGCTTTATTTAAACTAGTAGCACACCCTATCAGGTTCCCAAATACTGTGGGTAAAACCAAGAAGAAAACTTTTTACACTGCCTACTGACTTCCATAAAATATTTCTGAATGTGCAACTTCTTGATTTAGTTTCCTAGCTCAAAATCATATGTACTAATGAAAAGCATGAGTGTTGATACTTCCGTGTCTAATTTAGTTGCATTCTTGTATGTCATTAATGTTTTCTTACTTCAACTGTAGCTGAAGATATATGTAGCTTCTTGGAGAACTCATGTTAAACTATATTTCAGAATGTATTCTGTCTAAAAATCACTGATCTTGCTTTTGCACATAGGAAATCAGATGGACAATTCTATACAGACATTTCTAATTACTTGGTCTACTGAAACACCCATACGATAAGGTGTCTTGAATCAGTGTTGAGAAGTCGTGGTGGGGAAAAGGGTCAGAAAGGACCATGAGCCAGTGTTTGACCTTGGGGAAGAGAAAGATTCCTTTCTCCTATAAATAGTAAAGCAACATTTTCTTCTAAAATTTGATTTGAAAAGATATGAAATTGAAGTTCTGTCCAGTTTTATTCAGTAGAAACTAAACAATTATAGAAATAGATTGGTTTCTTTTTGAAAGGAATAAAGTGGTCTATATTGCGACATTTTGGGTTTTGGTAGTCTTACTAGCAATATTAACTTTCTTTTTTTCTCCCCCAGCAGGCAAATAATTGGGCTTTTTCCATAAGTGTGTACCTCTCACTTTTTTCTTCATTGGTATAATAAATCAAAATCTGGAGTGACTGCTTTCTTTAGTAAAACAGGCTTGTTGTAAAGTTACATTATTGCTGAAAAAAAGTTGGGATTCAGATGTACTTCCTATGTTCTAACAGCTGTTACAAAACACAGCTGTTTTGTAAATGGATGCTTTTAATAATTATTTAATGCTAGTGGTAGGTAATAGACTGTAGCTAATATCAAGTTATCTTAACCTAAGTTGTTTTGCTACTATTATTCTATTTTGCCTTATTTTTAGTGCAAATTCTTAAAATGATAATAGATTGTGGTTATTTTCTATCCTATTTGCTGAATATATTTTTCTACAGTTCTCTGATTATGAAGTAATGATTATGAAGTAGCATCATATTTGATGCAATGTACAAAGATGTGCAGCTTTTTCTGTACTGAAGTCTCTTCTAGCCTCCTTGCACCTTGCTGTTGTGACACTGATTGCGCTTCCCAGTGAGGTAAGGGAATGCTGTGAAAGGCCATTTCTGGGTTTCTAAGTGCCAGGGGATACCAAAGCACTGTCCATAAATGATTTCTCTTATATATTGAAGTAACTTGTAGGTACCAGAACTACTTCTGTGTCTAGGTGCTGGCAGTTAAGTGCTTCTTTGATTCAAGGTTGTATATTTTTGAGCACCTTGATTCTGAGACTGAATAGAGGGATATGCCTGGTTTAAAACTAGGACACACTCTGAGTGGTAGTAAATAATCTCTTACTGTTAACAGTGTTTGTATGAATAAAAGCTGTTAATGAGTTGCAAAGAAATAGCTATTGCTGTCTTTAATTTGAGTTTGACAAGTGCATACTTGTGCATACATCAGTCAGCTTTAACTTGCTCAGTTTGCATATCAGCTTTTTTGTATCTTAACAAAAAATGCCAGTGTCCATTTTAATAAAACATACTATTTAAGCATATTACCTGAATAAGTAAAATGCTTGTATGTTCTTTCATACTGAAGCTATTTATAAACCTTAGTTTTTTACAGTAGTTCTGCAATAATGAATATTTATCTTTAAAGGCAGTAGAGAAGCAAGTCAGACCTTAAATGTGAAAACGTCTTATTCTAGTGTTATTACTCAGTACTTAAATCAAAATTCTAAATCAAAGATTTGCTCTTCCTTCCCCGAGTAAACAAAAAACCCTGAGGTACCCAACCTCTGAAGTTCTCATGTCAGAGTATAGAAAATACTATTTACAGAACCACTGAATGGTTGAGGTTGGAAGGGACCTCTAAAGATCATTTAGTAGAATCCCCGTGCTCAAGCAGGAACACTTGGAATATGTTGTGCAGGGTCACATCCAGACAGGTTTGAGTATCTCCAAAGAAAGAAACTCAAATATAGACTTACTATATTAAGTATCGCTTAAGTGCACTAATTCTTTTGAAGCTTGYGTGTTTTGCTGTTGGCTTCAGTAGGAACAGAATGAGGGCTGCAGTGTAGGTATTGCAAGTTGTTACCTTTTCTCTTAGAAATGATCAAGTATAAAATAGTGCATAAATTCTGCTGTTATAGTTGCCATGGATCCACTGGAGAAAAGACAATTGTAGCAAACATTAAGGAAAGCATTCTATTTTTATAGACATTTTTAAAAATAAAAGGGAATTTTAAACATCAACGTTAAAAACTATGAAGGAAATTATGACATTCTAGTAAGTTTCTTCATGTAGAAGATGCTTTCAAAATTCTAAACTTGCAAGGACTTTTCTCCTGACTGACTCTTTTTCTCTTTAAAAAGATATTGGTAGGAGTTCTAAAATATTTGTAACCATTCAACTCCCTCTTTTGTTTGAAGTTTTCATAATTGTTATTTACATGTATGTTCAATGCTAGCATCAGAATAAAGTCATTCTGAACAGTTTTTGTCACAGCAATTAATTGTGAATTTGTGTAGATGTGAATGTGTATGTCTGTACTTTGGGCAGTAAGATGAGGTAAAAGCCTCCTGATCATGAAAGACTAGACATGAAGGATCTTTACAATGACTTCGGTTGTTGGTATTTAGCTACTTGATTTTATTATTAAAAGTTGCAYGTACTGAGTGGAATATTGAGACTAAATGCTAAAAGGACTTTGAATATTGTTTTCATGTTATCATAAGGAAATAAATATATTCAAATTGAATGCTTGAAATACAAAGCAATAAGACAATGGTTTGAATAATATGCATTTATGGATTAAACTTATTTTTATGGAACACTAACTAATAGGAATTAGTTCCATATCATTCAGACTCGTGCAACAGGAGGTTACTTCTGTTATGATTGATTTTGTGCGGAGAAGTCTTAAGCTTTTGAGAAGTTAGGAAATGCTCTTGAATTTATGAAAATAGTCTGCATTGTAATCAACTCTAAAAGTAATAGAATTAACTGAGTTATACAACCCATCAGTGTGAGTCATGCTGTGAAATTTAAGTTAAAATGAGCAGAGTGAAGGATGTTGAATATAGCTCCCTGTAACGTGAATATATTAAGCTGCCATCTCTGGAATATTCTGCATCAAGAACTATATTGGAGTGAAAAAGTGGTAGCACATTAAAGTACTCAAATCTACCTATCTTAAAATAAGAGATAGGGACTGAGCACAGCAGTAAAGATTACATATGAGGGGGAAAATGTTTAATGCAGGCTTTGATATTAAGTAGGCTATGTAAGAATTAGAACCTATTTAAGACAGTCTTAGACAATATGGAGTAAAAAACTACAGATGCACATAATTTTTGGTGTCTATGTACTAGAAAGATAAATGGTGCAAAACAAATGCAAATGAAAAACAAATCAGAATTTGGAGAATTAAATGTGGGGGAAAAGGACTTAACTTAGCGAAGAACAAATTAATTTGTTACATAATACATGTCTGAGGATGAAGCTTGAGTGGAAATGGAGTGGCTATGTTACAGGTAGACAAAGATGAATATTGTATAGCTCTGGACAATAGCAGGAATACTTAGAGATTTGTTTTTTAAACATGAAGTGTTACGCTTGGTTAAGTGTAATAAAGTATTAACTTACAGTTATTAGAGTACTATTATGTTCTTCAAAAATGGCAAAGAATTCAGATTAATCTTCAAAATTTGGATATTTCTTCTAACTTACTTTGCATTCAACTGTGCCAAAGACTCACTGTAGAGAAAAGTTATGTGATGTATAGCTGGAGAGCATATGCTTTAAGTGATTTCAACACAAGACATGGAAACAAAGATTAAAAATAAGTAGGATTGCACAGCTAAGGGATCCTTGTTATTGACTTCAACTAAGGTATAATATTTAAAAAGTGAGTTAAAAAGTAATTATCTGTATGTCTTTGGTAAAATTACACTGTTTATTCAATAGCGTTTATTTCATTTCCAGACAATTGTTTTATTTCTTTGTATATTAAATATCAACCTGACTTATCACAGTACTACTTAAGTTTCAATAGCAGAACTTTTTTTTGTTAAAACATAGTAAAAATACAGATGAAGCCCTGATTTTTCTCCTAAAGACTTTGTTGTAGGAATGCCACTTACTAATGTGTTCTTGCAATAGTCCTTCMCCTCATTCCCCTTCAACTCCTCTCTACCAGATAAAACTGAGGCTAAAATGATGGCCATGGGATGTGGACTTCATTAAATTATTTTGAATAGCATAGAAATAACTGTTGTATGTAGGATACATTTTACCCACTAAAATGTGAAATGTAATGCCATRCTTCAGGGGTGTAATGATACTACTGTCAGCTTGATCTATGCAATTGCAATGATGTAATAGTCACTTGGGAAAATATAAAAATATGTATAAGCCAGCTTTTAAGTGAGCACTTACAAGTGTTCTTTGTCCACATTCATCTTGCTCAAGTTGAATGTTCATTCAGTTCAGAATGAACATTCAACTCTCTCAAGTCAAATGAGACTTCAATATATTATATATATCTTAAGTGCAACTGTGTGTGGACTGTGTTTCTGACTCACATGAGTGCCAGCCTTGGGAGAGCAGCTTTCTTACCTGTATTTCACAGCAATTCTGTGGAATAACAAATGATGTGCATTACCATGCAGGCTGGAATTTAAAAAGTCATGTGTGCAGTAACTTGTGAGAAAAATTGAGTTGACAGAGGTCAGTGTTAGAGAAATTTAGGAGGAAATGAAATGCCTAAAATTAAAGTCATTGTCAGTGGAGAACTGCTATAGCTCCTGAAAAGTAACTAGGTTTGACTTGCTGGTTAGTTTAACTGAACAATTGCATATCATAGAGATGCATGATGTGAAAGCAGGCTTGTGACTGCSTCCGAGGGTTTCCTTTTCCTTTATGCTTAAGTTTATCTGCACAAATGGCAGATAAGTACTTCCCTGGAGTGGATAGTATTTTAATGTATTTGGATGAAAAAGCGTATAGGAAAAGTATTAAGACTTGTTTTGACCCACATCATTATTCTTTCATATTCCTATATATAAATTTAGTGTATTTTTTTTTAAATGAGTGGTTTTTAGCCCTAAGGATAATTCTATAAATCAAGAACAAGTGATGGCAGCACCAGTGATCTCTGCAACAGCTCCAAGCCAGGTCCAATTGCAGAGATTGCTACTTAGTTGCTTGTGTGGTTCAGTTTCAGTGTGAACATTTGCAAGACTGAGGCGACTTTTGAGATCTTGGTATTGCCCAAGAACTGAATCAAGATCAATTCACTGCACAGATACCAATGTAATMTAAAGTCTTTAAGAAATGTCATGATCAGAGTTTCATCTTCTGTGATTCTTTGTCTTGCCATTGCACAAGTGCTGTGATCATGCTGCAGCTGCATCTCCACATGGTAAATTTTTGGTTACTGTAGTGGCTGAGCTAATAATTATAGTGACTTGCCTAAGGTCACTTGAACTATATAGCAGACAGGAATTCAGATTTTCTGGGCTGCATCCAGGTGCATTTACCAGGGGAACATTCTGTATATAAAAAGCTTTGAATGTAAGCAGAAAATTCATGTGAGAAGAAACCCTGGGGGTCATTAATATTCATTTGAATTAGGATACAACTTGTGGACAACCAGAGGGAGGAAACGTGGGTTTTTTTGACCTTTTAGTCACCATGTCTCACTTGAATAATGTTTTCTTAAAACTAGCAAACTAAACATGCATATAGTGATTTGAAACTTGCAAGACAGTGCAAGGAATTCCCCAGTAGCACAGAGCCAAAGGATGTGTCCAGTTTCATTGTCTTCTGTAGCAACCAGCCATCCCTTTGATGTTAGAAAGCTGATCTGAGCTTGCTCATGGAGTCCCCTTGACATCTTTGCCTGGGACATGTTGACTATTAGAGGTTAGATGAAAAGAACAGGTTTAAAAGGATATTTTGGCCAAGGCCTAATTTGGTGTGAACAGATCTAAGCTTCCTTTGTTCCCACTCAGTTTGTTTTGAGTCACTGCCATTACCATAGTGAATGGGTAATGGCAGTGCCTCATTTTGTGCCTAAGACCTGCTGACTCCTATTAAAACTTCTGTGAATTTATCATTCTCTGGTAAATGAGACTTACTGCATTTCAAAAGTAGGAGAAAAATCCCAACCTGTCTGGTGTCAGGTGCTTTGACTATAAGCATTTAACTTTACTATCTACATGGGGAATCTAAGCTTTCCTAATATAATCAATGTGAAGGCTTATCTAGTGCTCTGCACACTTAAGAACTCGCTTCTCTCCTTTATGGGCAAACTAAATTAGATGCCTGAAGTAGCATGTCATGATCCTTCTGAGGATTTGTGAATAAAGTCTACATTATAATGTTTCCATAGGGAGGTGGTTATTTAAT